AAAAAAAAAAAAAACCTCCACGACAACAAAAAAAAAATTCAGAATTGAAAAATTCAGAATTGAAAAATTCAGACGGCAAAAAAAAAATGGGCGAGCACAACCTGCTCAACCCGGGCTTCGTGGGGCCGCTCGTCAACATCCACACCGGAGACGCTTTTTACTTCCCGAATTTCCGCGCGTCCGGAGGGCAAATCCCGGGATTTTCGTCGCTCTCGTACCCGCGCAGGGACAACGTTTGCTCGCTGCCCTGGGGCTCGGGGGATCCGGGCTACCCCCAGCCCTACCTGGGCACCCCCGTCACCCTAAACCCGCCCTTCGGCGGCCCCAAAGCGCCCTACGAGCTCGGCCGCGCCGACGACGCCAAATGTTTCTATCGCGACAGCGACAAACGAGACGATCGAARCCGGGAGGGATCGCTGCTGGCGCTGGAGCCGCTGGCGGCCCCGGSGGGAGCGGCGAATTTGGGCAATTTCGGGAAATTCGAGTACCCGGGAGGCGGYGGAGAGGGGATGGCGCAGGATCCGCCCTCGTGTCAGTCCCTGGAGTCCGACTCGGGATCGTCGCTGCTCAACGAGGGCCACAAAGGGGACGCGCCGGGCTTGGTGTCACCGCTCGCAGCGGCCGGAGGAGGTGAGGAACTAAAAATGAGGGGTTTTGGGGGCTTTTGAGGGGTTTGGTGTCACCGCTCGGAGCGGGCGGAGGAGGTGAGGACACCAAAATTGGGATTTTTGGGGCTTCTGAGGGATTTTGGGGGGGTTTTGGGGGTGTTTGTCTCGGGAATTTGGGGTACGGAGGGCTTGGTGTCACCGCTCGGAGCGGGCGGAGGAGGTGAGGACACGAAAATTGGGGATTTTTGGGGTTTTCTGAGGGGTTTGGTGCCACCGCTCGGAGCGGGCGGAGGAGGTGAGGACACCAAAATTGGGATTTTTGGGGTTTCTGAGGGATTTTGGGGGGTTTTGGGGTGTTTGAGGGCTGTTTGTCTCGGGAATTTGGAGTACGGTGGGACTGCTGTCACCACAAAGGGGACGCGCCGGGCTTGGTGTCACCGCTTGGAGCGGGCGGAGGAGCTGAGGACACGAAAATGGGGGGTTTTGGGGCTTCTGAGGGGTTTTGGGGGGATTTGGGGTGTTTGTCTCGGGAATTTGGGGTACGGAGGGGTTGGTGTCACCTCTCGGAGGGGGCGGAGGAGGTAAAGTCCTGAAAAAGGCGATTTGGGGGGGTTTTGGGGGGTTTTGTGGGGTCCGGCAGGGTTGGTGTCACTGCTCACCGCGGGCGGCAGTTGTAAGGTCCCCAAAATGGGGATTTTTGAGGGGTTTCGGGGGGTTTTGGGGTCCGGCGGGGTTGGTGACACCGCTCCGAGGGGGCGGAGGAGGCGAGGTCCTAAAAACCCCTCAAGTTGGGGTTTTTAAGGGGTTTTGGGGGGGTTTGCCTCGGGCATTTGGGGTGGGAAGGGATTGGTGTCACCGCTCACCGCGGCGGAGGAGNGGGGTTTAAGGGGTGTTTCCCTTGGGATTTTGGGGTCCGGCGGGGTTGGTGTCACCCCTCGGAGGGGGCGGGGGAGGTGGGGTCCTAAAAATGGGGATTTTGAGGGGTTTTTGGGGTGTTTGTCTCAGGAATTTGGGGTGGGAAGGGATTGGTGTCACCATTCACAGCGGCGGAGGAGGTAAGGTCCTAAAAAAGGGGGGTTTTGGGGTTTTGTGGGGTTTTGGCGGTGTTTGCCTCAGGCATTTGGGGTCCGGCGGGGTTGGTGTCACCGCTCGGAGGGGGCGGAAGAGTTGAGGTCCCGAAAATGGGGATTTTGGGGGGTTTTTGGGGTGTTTGTCTCGGGAATTTGGAGTACGGTGGGACTGCTGTCACCGCTCACCGCGGGTGGAGGTGAGGTGTTGAAAATGGGGGTTTTTGAGGGATTTTTGGGGGTGTTTCCCTCGGGATTTTGGGGTCCAGCGGGGTTGGTGTCACCGCTCACAGCGGCGGAGGAGGTGAGGTCCCCAAAAAAGGGGATTTGGGGTTTTTTGAGGGGTTTGGGACGGGTTTGCCCCTCCTTGGGGTCCGACTCGGGATCGTCGCTGCTCAGCGAGGGCCACAAAGGGGACGCGTCGGGTTTGGTGTCACCGCTCGGAGCGGGCGGAGGAGGTGAGGTCCCGAAAATGGGGTTTTTTTTTGGATTTCTGAGGGGTTTTGGGGTCCGGCAGGGTTGGTGTCACCACTCGGAGGGGGCGGAGGAGGTGAAGTCCCGAAAATGGGGATTTTTGAGGGGTTTTGGGGTCCGGCGGGGTTGGTGTCACCGCTCAGAGGGGGCGGAGGCGGTAAGGTCCTAAAAAGCCCCTATAGTGGGGTTTTTTGGGGTTTACGGGATGTTTCCCATGGGAATTTGGGGCCGGCCGGGTTTGGTGTCACCTCTCGGAGGGGGCGGAGGCGGTGAGGTCCTAAAAATGGGGATTTTGAGGGATTTTTGGGGTGTTTGCCTCTGGAATTTGGGGTGGGAAGGGATTGGTGTCACCGCTCGGCGGGGGCGGAGGAGATGAAGTCCTAAATAAGGGATTTTTTGGGGTTTCCCTTGGGATTTTGGGGTCCGGCAGGGTTGGT